ATCTGAAGTGTACCTGGCGTATAAGACGACCCCCCACTTGGAGGCATATTTTTCAGGGCCAAAAAATCGTCTTATACGCCGGCAAATACGGTAAGTCACAAGAACTAAAAGGGTCCTAAATAAAATTTTATTTAATAAGTAGTGTTGGCCTATCGTGCTGTACATCTGGGGAAAATAATTCTCACCATATATACAAAAAAACAGTCCAAATGGATTAAAGCCCTAAATTAGTAAACAGTAAAACGTATTAAAAGAAAATAGTATAATAACTTACAGGGTACAGAAACCTATATCTCTGTTTCTGTTCTACACGAGAAAAAAATCTAAAAATCTAAAACCGAAAGAAACTGAATAAAAATTTTTATAAAGGAAGAAAAATATGATCAACAAAATTATAAAAGTATATGAAGCTGGAATAGGTAACTGCAAGACAAATGTCAGACAAAAAATTAATAGTTCTAAGAGAACTTCTTTTAGGAAAACACAAACAACCAAGCAGAAAAAATGGATAAAGGATATGAACAAATGATCATAAAACATACAATGTAAATGGCCAATAGAACACATGGAAAGAAGCCCAAACTTAATAGTAGTAGTCAAAGAAAAACAAATCAAATTAAGATACCATTGGTCAGATTGGGAGAAATCAAATGGATTCAAGTCTTAGCAGTATCGTACTACAATTATGTACGATGTTACCACTAGAGGAAGATAGGTGAAGTATACATGGGATTATTTTTACAACGTACTGTGAGCCTACAATTACTTAAAAATTTTTAAAAAATGAGTTGATAAGATCTATCGATGGTAAGGTTCTAGGCAAATGGGCACTCTTACAGACTGTTGATGGAACTGAAAACCACTATCTTCCCCCCACACACAATCCCCCAATTTCTCAATTCTGCCTTAGGAAAGTAACATGGGTATTCATTAAAGTAAAAAAATATATACGAGCTTTAAGGGCCACTGGTCCAACAATCCCACTTCAATCTATTCTACAAAAATAAGGCCACAGGACTTAGGGACATATATGCAGGGATTAACTACAGCATTGTTAAGTGTCAAAGCACTGGAAATGACCTCAAAGATCGTTAATAAGTGAATGGTTGACTATATGTTAGTAAAGTAACCAACAGGATATGAATCAGTAACAGCCACATTAACAGTAAAAGAAATGTTAAATTCCAAGTAGCATTCTGTTTAGCCCTCCTACAATCCTTTGAAACAGGCAAATTATTACACAATTTTTACCCAAAAAAAAATCAAACTAATGTATAGAGGTGTTAGGTAAGCTGTTCAAGAGTACATAATTAGTAAATGGTGAAGCCAATATTCCAGTAAGAAGAAAAAGAGAAGCAGAACAGGAAAGAGACTGCTTTA